GGCTGAGCATCTTCAAAAACAGGGGTTTTTCTTTTTCTTTTTAAAATAATTTCTATCCCAAGAACCTAATCTAGTACAAAAAGTGTGAGGGTTAAGTTATAAAATCTATATAAAAATACTTTGTGCCCTGCCACTGTGGCTCAGTGGTTGAGCATTGACCTATGAACTAGGAGGTCACAGTTTGATTCTCCATCAGAGCACATGCTGAGTTGCGGGCTTGATCCGTGTGGGGCATGCAGGAGGCAGCTGATCAATGATTCTCTCTCATCATTGATGTTTCTCTCTCTCTCCCTTCCTCTGAAATGACTCTCTTGCCTAGGGGAGCAATTGCAAATCACTTTACCACTTTGGTTTGTTTTCTTCTTTATAACCTGAGGGACATGACCTCTCTGCAGGTAGAGAAAGTATACGGTAAAATAATTGCTCTGGGCAGATAACTGACCCAAAGAACAGTGAACCTGCAGCCTGTACACAACTACAGTAGCAGATGATAAAAACCAAGATAGGAAGAATTACTCTGCCTGACAGGAGAGGGAAGTTAATGGGAAGGGTTCCAGGGTGCTAGAAAAGGCTCCTGAGAGTGAGGGCGGGTCCCTGTAGCAGGCAGTCTGCAGCATCCCGGGAAGGATGGCGGACCTGCCACAATTAGTCAATGCCTGCTCGCCAAGAATGAAATGCCAACATGCCTGCTTGGAATCGCAGAGCTGGGCATGACCTAAAACTTGTCCAGGGACACAGCGGCCTCTACCACTGAACAATCCCTCCTTTAGAGAAACCCCACTCTTCAGTCTTATTAAGGGAATGTGAGCTCGTCGGACACCTTGAGGCAGTGTGTCTTTCAGATGTCCCTCCTGCCAGGGATCGCAGCGATCGCACTTAGACAACCAGGGCCAGGTGATGCCTGCAAGCGGGGGACCCCCCCGCCCGCCTCTCACAGGAGCCTCTGCGGGGCCTGAGGAGCTAGGACAAAAGGAGTCCTGAAATCGCCAGGGTGTGCGCGGAATTTGAAGAGGGAGCTGGGTGTCACTGCCCGCTCGGGCTGGGAGTAAGCGCGCGGCCCAGACCCCGGAGGTGCGCCCGGCGAGGGAGCGGAGGGCCAGGGTCACGGACAGGACAGACACCCGGCCTCTCGTTTCCTGGGCACCGGCGCCCGCCCCTGCCCGGCCTCCCAGGCCCCTTTCCGCGCTCCTCACCGTCTCCATTGCAGGAGGCGCCCGCTGGCTGCGTTCACTTTAGAAGTTCGCTGGGGAAGGAGGGAGGCCCCGCCCCACGTCCGGTACCGCGACGCCACTTCCGCTTGCGTCAGAACAAACGCCAGCAAGGGCGGAAGGCGCGGAGCGCACTTTTCCGGCGCGGCCCGGCCTGGAAAGCGCCCTCCCCTGGGTCCTCTCGGACCTCACAAGTCGGGCTGACGGCGAGGGTGACGGGACGGAGCCACTTGTATTTAAAATGTTCTCTTTTTATTTGTCGTTTAAAAACAAACTTGGAAGAAGCAAAATCCAAAACTTGCCCTTTGCCTCTTGCAACATAAATTATGTACAGTTCAGAATGATCGCTGATACAAAACATGCCAAGGACGGGGCGCTGGGGGTGGAGGGAGAGGGCACTTTAAAAGGGAATCATTTCATCCGCTGTTACGAAAGACCAACCTTGCTGTACAGGATACACACAACACAAAATAAAGTCTTCACGGGATTCACACTTGTCAGCGATTTATTTTTTTAAAAGGGGGAGGGTCCTGGAGGTGAGGGGAGAAGACTGTAAAGGGGAAAAACTGAAAATTGAGTATGTGCAAGTGTAAACCAACCCAAAATACAAACACGGGGGAGGGAGGAGGAGGGAATTCTGATGCAATTATACAGGCGGGGTACTTAAAAAAAACACCAACAACCAAAATTCCAACCTTGTAACTTGGGTCTGAGTTAGTTTATATAAAAATTAAAAACTGTATAAGGTTTCTTTACTAAATTCTACAGGACTATCGGATACCTAGCATATGCTTACAAAGTCTGCCCCATCCCCTTTCCCAATCCCAGGGCCCAGGCCCCAACCAGAGCCTGACTCACAGGAGCCAATCTCCCCATCCCTGTAGCCTAGACCTTTTGCTCTTGGAAATGGCTTTGGGAGCAGCAGCCCAGTCTCCCCACTGTCTGATTTAATTACAGTGGTTTCTGTGAGGGTGGAGGGATGTTATTCTCTTAAACATTTGCAGCTTGAAACAGTTGAGGAAGCAGCTTAAAAAAAAAAAAAATCTCCCTACCCCCATCAATCCGCAATCCCCCAATTCAAAAACAAACAAAAACAAACCTAAAATCACAACAGCGACTGTGCTCCCCTTCCAGCAGGCCCACCCATCCACCACCAACCACCAAGCCCATCCCTACACTCCATACATTTGATTCTTGAAAATATTAATTACAAAATGCCCTTTGCCCACAGCCCCTAGGAGAGAACTGCATATAAGCTTCATCTTCATCCCCACGGCTCCCTACCACACAGGGGTCTGGGGCTTCCCCCACCCCCTGATCTACCCCTACCCCAGGAAGAGGTTCAACTGCAGCACAAGCTTGGGCAGAAAGGGGAAGGAAAGGGAGGCAGGGAACCCATCACCCTCTGGCTCCCCCTGGGGCCAGCTCACTTTTGTGCGTTATAACGTAGTCCAACTATACAATAGGGGGTGGGAATTGCCCAGCCTCTATACCCCCATCTTACAGCAGTCACAGCCAGGGGGTGGGGAGGAGGGAGTGAGGAAAAGGGCGGTAGGTTGGGTAATGGAGGGGGCTCCCCCACAAGGGGAGCTCCATGTATCCGCCCCACACCCCCCTACCATTTATAAACTGGTTTTGTAAAAAGAAAATAGATATATTTATATAGAATATATAAAGCACAAAAATTAGTAGTTTTACATTTGCTCTCCCCGGGGGTGGGGGGAGAGGGGAGGGTTCTCACCTCCAGCCGGCTCCCCCATGCCCCACAAGACTATGTACAATCCCATGTATAAATAGATAAATACCCCCCACCCTCCCCGCGCTGACACTAAGCTCCCCACCCCCACATCACCACCCCTTCCCACCAGACCAGCAGCAGTTTGGTGACTGAGGGAAAGTGGGAGCTCTGGGCCACACCCTGCCTCACTGGGTATGGGCATGCCACTCAGGGATAGCCCTCACCTCTATCACCCACCCACCCCATCCAGGGGCTGGAGGGCAAATGGGCTCATGATGGGGTTGGGAAAACAGGAGGGAAATATCCTGGTCCTAGGTTTAGCACATCCCTCCTACCCCCATGTCCAGATGGAGAAGGAAGTCCTAGAGCAACTAGGGGCCAGTCATCCCCAATCTTCATCATCATTAGCCTCAGCCGCCATCCCATGCCCAGAATTAAAAACAAAGATGGATTTTTTGTTGTTGTTGTTTTCTTCCTCCTCCTACCCCCTTCCACCCACTCAGAAGAGGGCAGTGAGGTGGGGGAGAGGGTTGGGGCAGTAGGGGGCTTGGAGAGGGTCTCACATTTCAAAACAGCAAAAAATCCAACACTTAAATGAGGTAGGTGTGGGTGTGGGGTCTCCTTGCCCGGCTTGCCTGGCTTGCCCTTCTGGGCAGCTGGGCGCCTCTTTCCCATTCATGTTGCATTTGTCAGAGTGGAAAACAAGGAAACAAAACCCATAGAGAGAAACACAGAGGATAAGAGGGAGACAGAGACAGATTGAGAGGGAAGGGGATGGGGGTGAGGGGGGGGGGGGCGGGG